AGAACCGATGGTACTGAAGGAAGAGGTCCAAGATACATAAAGGCATTGGTGAAAAACTACACTCCAGGAATTGATGGAACACCAATTGAGATGTTTCAACAAACGGATACAGTGCTGGAAGCACCCACTCGCCTGTGCCAAGAAGTTTGGAAGACAGCTACTTGGCCAACCGACTGGAAGAGATCCATATTTGTACCCATTCCAAAGAAAGGTGATCCAACAGAATGCAGAAATTATCTAACAACATCATAATATCACACACAAGTAAAATTTTCCTGAAGATCAATCAAAAGCAGTTGCAGCAGTACATCGACAGGGAACTGCCAGAAATTCAAGCTGGATTCAGAAGAGGATGTGGAACCAGGGATATCATTGCTGATGTCAGATGGATCGTGACTGAAAGCAGAGAATACCACTGTGCAAAGGCCTTCAACTGTCTGGATCATAAAAAATTATGGATAACATTTTGAAGAATGAGAATTCAAGAACACTTAATTGTGCTCATGAGAAACCAAGAGGCAGTCATTTGAACAGAACAAGGGGACACTCTGTGGTTTGAAGTCAGGAAAGGTGTGCATCAGGGTTCTATCCTTTCACCATACTTATTCAATCTATATGATGAGCAAAACATCCTAGAAGCTGGACTATATGAGGAAGAATGTGGCATCAAGATTGGAGGAACACTCATTAACAACCTGCGATATGCAGATGACACAACCTTGCTCGCTGAAAGTGAAGAGGACTTGAAGCACTTACTAATGAAAATCAAAGACCACAGCCTTCAGTATGGGTTACACCTCAACATAAAGAAAACAAAAATCCTCACAACTGGACCAATAAGCAACATCATGATAAACAGAGTAAAGACTGAAGTTGTCAAGGATTTAATTTTACTTGGACCCACAGTCAACACCAATGGAAACAGCAGTCAAGAAATTGATGCATTGCATTGGGCAAATCTGCTGTAAAAGACCTCTTTAAAGTGGTCTTTTTAAAAAGCAAAGATGTCACTTTAAGGACTAAGGCATGCCTGACCCAAGTCATGGTGTTTTCAGTTGCCTCATGTGCATGTGAAAGCTGGACAGTGAATAAGGAAGACTGAAGAAGAACTGATGCCTTTGATTAATGGTGGTGGAGAAGAATATTGAATATACCATGGGCTGCCAGAAGAATGAAGAAATCTGTCTTGGAAGAAGTACAGCCAGAATGCTCATTAGAAGCAATTCTCGTTAGAAGCAAGGATGGCAAAACTATATCTCACATACTTTAGACATGTTATCAGGAGGGCCCAGTCCATGGAGGAGGACATCATGCTTGGTAAAGTAGAAGGTCAGAGAAAAAGAGGAAGACACTCAATGAGATGGATTGACACGTGGCTGCAACAGTGGGCTCAAACATAGCAATGATTGTGAGGATGGCACAGGACTGGGCAATGTTTCATTCTCTTGTACATGTGGTTGCTATAAGTTGGAAACGACGTGACAGCACCTAACAGCAACAATACACAGCAGTAAAAGAACAAGTGAAAATGACACCTTATAGAGCCAAGTGTGTGTTAATTCACTTAGGGAGGAGAACAGACTACACATATGATTGGATTTATCCAATCCTTGGGGAAATATCAGATGGTGAATTAAGAGCACGGAGTTTGGAATGAGAAATACTTATGTTCAAGCTCAGGCTTTCTATTTTCTAACTGTGGAATCTTGGGCAAGTGACTGAACCTCTAGGGATAACTTCCTCCCTTCGTAAAATCCAGATAAGAAAACCTACTTTGTTAAACCAGGCTCATAAAGGTGAAATTGCCCTCTAATTGAAAGGTGAAAAGTTTTGCGTTCATCCCTCACGTTATTGGTTTTTTCATTGATTCAATAAAACTATTGACCATCTATGAAACAGTTGCCATGTTGGATGTGGGGTATATCAAAATAAATAAGATGTGACTTTTACCTGAAAGAGTTCACTGTCTAGTGGCAGACACTACAAATAACTATAGTGCAATATGATGAGTAGAGAAAAGAGGTATGTACAAATTGTTGAGGAACAGAGGAGAGAAAATAATAACAACCACAATAATAACAATGTTAAACACTTGTGAGTGTATTTAGACAATATATTTTCTCATTTGCATGGCAGAATAGTCTTATAAGTGAGATAGAGTATTAATTATACTTTTATTTTGCAGATGAAGACTATAAAGCTCAAATAGCTTAAGTAGCTCACCTGGAGTCTCATAGCTAGAAAGTGAAAAGAGGGCAACTCTAACCCAGCTCTTCTGACTCTAAATTCAGTGGTTTCATCAGCATATGCTACAATTCCTGAGGGAATATCCGGATGGTGAATTAAGAGCACAGAGTTTGGAATGAGAAATATTTATGTTCAAGCCCAAGCTTTCTATGTTCTAACTGTGGAATCTCGGGCAAGTGACTGAACCTCTAGGGATGACTTTCTCCCTTAGTGAAATTCAAATAAGAAAACCTACTTTGTTAAACCAGGCTCATAAAGGTGAAATTGCCCTTAAACTTTAAACTTTTTTAAAACATTGGAAGTTATTCTTTTATGAAGTTTTCATCATTATATATTTAGCTAGTGAAATTATAAACTGAAGCTAGTGCAGCTTGTTCTTCTTTACCTTATACTAAAAAAGGGATAGCAATCCTTATCACAAAGTATTTCTCTGGTTCTGTTCTCACTAGATAACTAAGACAGGTACATACTAGTATTTGTCCCATTTGACATATGAGGAAACTGAGACACAGTAGGTTCAATATATTGCCCAAGGCACACTTCAAGTGGAGAACTAGGACTTTATCTAGCACTAAAGCCTGTGATTCTCTGTCCAAGGACTCCAATCTGCTCAAATTTCTTTGAAGCAGTGCTCCTGTGCTGGACTTCTTGGTAGTAGCAAAGTAGTTAGAATCATAGGCTTTAATGCTAGATAAAGTTCTAGCTCTGCCACTTTTAAGTGTGACCTTGGGCAATTTACAGAAGTTTCTGTGACTCAGTTTCCTCATATGTAAAATGAGACAAATACTAGTATGTACCTGACTTGGTTATCTAGTGCTGCTATAACAGAAATACCATAAGTGAGTGGCTTTAAAAAACAGAAATTTATTTTCCAACAGTTTAGGAGGCTAGAAGTCCAGATTCAGGCCACCAACTCTAGGGGAAAGTGCTCTCTGTCACCTCTGGAGGAAGATCCTTGTTTCCTTCAGCTTCTGTAGCCCCGGCGTGCCTCGATTCCTTGTTGATTTTCACATGGCATCTATCTTCCCTCCATTTGTGCTTGCTTATCTCTGTCTGTGCTGCTCCTTGTAACTCAGAAGTGATTAAGTTTAGGACACACCTTATCCTGATATAGCCTCATTAACGTAACAAAGAAAACTCTATTTCTAAATGGGATTACATCCACAGGTATAGGGGTTAGGATTCCAACACATATTTTGGGGAGACACAATTCAATCTATGACAGTACCTCATAAGGTTGTTAGAAGGGTTAAATGATTTAATATTTGCAAGGCACTTAGAATAGCACTGTAAATACATGACATTATTTTTAGGCCAGAGCTTCTCCACTTTCCCTATTACTGCTTCAGCTTACTGTGATATCACCTGTCTACCCATCAATCACTCAACAGATAATTGTGGAGTGCCTACTATGAACCACAACTGTTCTAGGTGCCAGGGAGAAATGGTAAACAAAATAGATAATAGTCCCTGCTGTTGTGGAGCTTATAACTAAGTGGACTGCTAAAAGTCACAGACATTTCCATCACAGTTGCTATCCATCTAAAGTATGACTGGTGCTGGTGGTAACCAAGAGTATAATCAAGACTTAGATGACACATGTCAGGGCACTAGTATTTGGAATGAAGCTTCTGTCTCCTATTAGGGCAGAATCTATTGGCACCAAAACTGCTGTTGCCTTGTAACACCACTCATTAAGTTTTTACTCCTTTTATTGCTACTCCCTTGCCCTAGGATTTAAGCATGAGTACAAGAGGGCAGGATGGAGGACAGAGAGTTAAAAAAAAAAAAAAAAAAGCATTACCTTATACCAAATTATACCTTTTCACCAGCCCTAGCCCTTTATTTTTCAACGACTCTTAGGTGTCTTGACTTTCTTTCCTTCGGGTTGTTCTTTAATGGAAGACTTGCATGAATATACTCCTTGTAGTTCCCCAGTCATGTCCAGGCATGCCTTACTTCTAGGACAGATATTGCTAAGGCACATGGGGAGGACCCCTGCTGTCTTAGTCATCTAGTGCTGCTATAACAGAAATACCTCAAGTGGATGGCTTTAACAAACAAATTTATTCTCTCACAGTCTAGTAGGCTAGAAGTCCAAATTCAGGACACCAGCTCCAGGGGAAGGTTTTCTTTCTGTGTCATTTTTGGGGGAATGTCCTTGTCATCAGTCTTTCCCTGGTCTAGGAGCTTCTCAGTGCAGGGACCCCAGGTCCAAAGAACACACTTTGCCCCTGGCACTACTTTCTTGGTGGGGAGGTCCCCCTGCCTCTCTGCTTGCTTGTCTCTTTTATATCTCAAAAGATTTTGACTCAAGATACAACCTAATCTTATAGATTGAGTCCTGCCTCATTAACATAACTGCCTCTAATCCTGCCTCATTAACATCATAGAGGTAGGATTTAACACATAGGAAAATCATATCAGATGACAAAATGATGGACAGTCGCACAGTACTGGGAATGATGGCCTAGCCAGGTTGAGACACATTTTAGGGGGACACAATTCAATCCATAACACCTACTATACTGAATGTATTGTGCCTTAGAAACTCATTACTAAATTCTGGAATACATATTAGATAAAAGCTGATTAAAAAGTGTTTAGTATGTAGTTTACTTTCATATGCCTGGTTTCTTCAGTAAGATTTCATATTTATAATTAAATATTATTGAAAGTAGTTCAACTCTGAGAAAAAATTCAAAATGAAAGCAAAGGATTTTCAAATGAATGTGTTATCTTTTATATTTTAGAATGTGCTACTCTTCATAATATGATAAAAGGACTACAGCAGACTATTGGATATCAGCATAATTTGAAAGGTAAGTTAGGATAAAATTGCAGAATGTAATCTAAAAAGGTATGGTTTATTTGAGCACTTTTCAGAATACAGAGTTTTTACATCATTAATAGTAAATGCTTTTTAATTTGATCTTATTAAATTCATCAGCTAAGGGCAGGACTCCTTACTACGTAATAAAACTATCCTAAATGGATATGAAATAAATGCTGTGCTGAACAGAATCACTCAGTCTTATTCTATCTGACAGAGTCATCAGGGCTATTTGACAATGTAAGTGTCTTCTAATACCACTCCTATACTTGCTTCATCATCACTCAAGAAAAGCTTTTAGGGGAAATAAATGGGAAAAAAGAACTAGTAGAATTTATTAAGAAAAGATAAATCTCAGGAAATTATAAAGGCAATAAGAAATAACAGAGGGCAGGACCAAGATTTCGGAGTAGTCAAACACTTCCGGTGGACACTCTTAGAACAAAGACCCAAAAAAACAAGTGAATCGATTATATATGATAATCTAAGAGCCCTGAACATCAAAGGCAAAGTTGAGGAACTGGACTGAGTGGCAGGGGGAGGGAGAGATGGTTCAGAAGCAACGAGGAGTTCCCAGCTCTGACCTGGCCAGAGCCTGAGCCCTTCAGGCCTGATCAGCTCGTGGGTGAGTGGTGAGGTAGGCATGCTGCAGCACCCGGGAGGCATTTTCCACACTGGCAGAGACCCAGTGGCAGAGAGTCTACTCAGTCACCCAGAACCAGTGAGAAGCAGCCCTCAATTGGTGAAAGATAAGTACTTGTGTGGTCCGGCCTACCGCGCGGATCAAAAACACCTCCCTTAGGGAAAAACCTCTCTCCCATTTACCTCCCTGCTCCCTACTCTGCACTGGGTCCCCCACCAGCTTCAGCGATTGCTGAGTCCCCCGGGCCAGAAGTAGGATCTGTCACATGCCCAGAGCCATTCTCCCGGCCTTGGAGAGTGAACAAATTAACAAACGGGAAAAAATAAACTGCTGGCTCCCCTAAGCCAGGAATTCAGGGTAGGCACAGCTCCTTTGCCTAGACACAGGCGTAAGGGATCCACGGACTTTGAGTGCATCTCCCCCTGCATAGACTTGTGTGGGTCCATTTCAGCAGCCCACGCCCTCATTACTACAGTACAACAGGGTATATACCTGAAGTCTAACTTCAACTGTTTCAGCTGTGAAGTGGCAGGTTCATAACATTTGACACTACCCTTTAAGCAGACTCTTCACCTACCCACATCAGGGGCCTGCGGACTGGGGACTCCACCCACGCCACCTAGCCACCTGTGATAGGGGCCCAACAATAAGAGATGCCCCCCCAGTCCTTACAGCCAACAGCATCGGGTGCTCATAGTCCGGCTGCAAAACCTACCCACCTACGCACTCTAGGGAACAGGGAAACACCTTCCTCCTGGACACTCAGGGGTGGCTGTCAGCCCCCTGCCTTGCTCAGAGTGTATCCCCCTACTGCAGCTAGATGCCTGTGCCTACACCAATCACCCATGCCTGTCTAGGACTGTAGATGAGAGCCTGCACCACACACATGGTGGCTATCTACCTGGGCACCTGAGCTGAATCCATACAGGAGGAGTGGGCGGACTCCTGAGCACACATATCTAGTAACAGATCTAACCACCTGGTGACAGGACATTAGAGCTTCAAAG